AACAATGCCTGGGAATGGTTAACATCCTGCAGTTGAAATCATCAAAATCGGGTTTAGCAACATTTGGGCATTTTGCGCCTTTACACGGCCTAAATAATTAGAGTTTGGCTACAATGCAGTTGAATCCGTTCATAGCGGGATTTCATGAAACATTCAGCGGGTTTCCATTAAAATGTGCACGCCGCAAAGACAAGCGAATATTGGCTGTCGGCCTGAACCACAAAACGCCAAATGAACGGGTTAAATTCACTAGTCATTTTGTGAAATTTGGTGTGGTTAATGGAAAAATCGCTAATTTTCCAAATGTTCAATAGCGCAAAACGTCCCGGGACGCAATCCTAAACCCTTCGACCTTTATTTACCAGCTCTAAAACTTTTAATGGGCTTCTTAACATAGAGCGCACCCTTTACATTCGTTCTCATTGTTGTCGCCGTAATTACCGTAATTTAGCTCGAGTTTATTTAACTAAGGCGTTTAATGCCTCCATGCATAATTGTCACACGGGTTTTATTGGCTTTTTTCTTGGATGCAAGAACATTTTGTGCCAAGGAAATTGGTTATGACTACAATAAAAATTAAAACCAGGCACTGAATCTATGGCTGTTGATTTGCAATATTAAACAGTTTTAACGGTTTCTTGCTGTAATTTTTGAAAAACTCAACCAGCTTGAAACGGATTACAACGACCCTTTATAGGGGCTTAAAGGAGCTCCGGTGCTACGTTTGCAAAATTTCAGCCCCAACATGAACCAACTGCAGCCACTACGTCGAGATGAAAAGCATCAACTTTTTGATTCTACCAGCTAGTTTAAAACACTCCACTATCTGCATTACTCAAAATCCTCGTTGAGGGAGTAAAGCAACCGCAATAAAAGCATCTACATCTAATCGCAGCTGAGTGGCTGAATGATGACGCTTGAATTAATTTTTGTTATTATTCTCAGTCAGTTCTTGCTTGCAGCCCATCCGTCTTCTATGGTTGAGGGCCTCAATTTATTCGGCGGCTGGGAGGATTACTTTCATAGACTAGGCACAGTCTTAAGCGCGAATTAAGATACAAAGGGAGATGAGCCTAAAATTCTATTAACCAGGTCGTTTCGAGGCTGAAGCATTTGTTAACATGATAAAGCTTTTAAGCTCAACTACTTTATTTTCTTCGCTCATTCGTCGCTTCCATATGATGCGTTGTTTGGGTAATGGAGATCGTTAATTATTAATTGGAGCGGGAGCTGCAGAAGTATATGAGAGGAGGCATTGAGGGCGACATTCGGGCAAATTATAATTTCCGGAAATGCGAAAGCTTGTTGGGGTTTTTGAGGAAATACTCCGCATGATTGAGTGCGATTTCGATTTTCCGCCGTGTGCACTGATGGAGTTGTGTTTCCTCAAAAATTGGGTGAACTTGTTTGCGAAACGATGCGACCTCTAAAGCCTGCAGCCCTATTTTCAAACCGATTTTAGAGGCGGAGTTGGACAAAGTGCCGCTGGTGTTCAGGCCTTGTTTTTTCAGCCAAAAGTTCGCATTTGACTGGAATTGAATAAACTGGAAAAAATCAATGTATATCTGTTCTTCTGCCTGAAATGTCAGGTTGAGATTAAACCTTGCTTTGTGCTAAAAATTAATAAATTTGTTTTATGCAAATTGAGGGATTTGTATTCTAATATAGGCAGACTTTTTAAATGCCTCAAAGATACTGAGGAGCATTTGGTAGAAATATGGTTCAGTATATGGATTGAACATATGTTTTCGAATTTTTCAAAGTTTCAGATAATATTCCAGTTGGGCTAGTGGATTTCTATTATTTGGGTTGAGGATTTAGAAGGTACTCTCGACGTCAAAAACACTGTTTTTCCAATATTTTCACGTATATGATATTGAGGAACATTTTGCGATTTTTTTGTCAACATTTGGAGCTCAATTTCCTCAAAGTTCAAGCTGCATCTGCATTAAATGTTGTGAGGAATTAATTCTCCTGTTCGGATAAAGCCCAACTGTTCAAAAATCTTCACTTGTATGTTAATAGAGGACAATTTTCCTCTAATTTAAATCAATGTTTAGAGCGATTTATATTTAAGTTTAAATGTTTCTTTATTGGTTTTTTTTGAGGAAGTAGAAGGTTTATTTTCGTATGAATTCGTATTTTATTTGTATTAAATTGAGCAGCAATTGACAAAAATGTGCATAGAAATTCAATTTCTTTAAGTTTCAAGCAATTGTTTCTTGTAAATTTTTAAGAATTTGGGCAATTTTTTAATCATCAGATTCCACAGGTTGGGTGCACTTTTCAAATATTTACCACATAAAATGAAGACTGGCTATAAAGTCGCTTTTTAAGTCACGTGAAAGAGGGATGTTCACTCTATTCGTTCTGAAAGTGAAGATTTTGTCTGAATTTAGCCGAATTTAGGGCAATTTTTTAATCATCAGATTGCGCACTTTTGTTTTCACGTGTTCTTTTCAAAAAGACGCCAACGAAAATTAGGAATTGCCTCACAACTGCGCTCAAAACCCTTTTATAGAGCAACGTTTGCTCTATTTGATCTGTAGGTGTGGATTTTTTCGCAATTTATCCGGAATTGGAACAATTTTTAAATCATCAAACCGTGCCGGGTTAGTACGTTTTTCAAAATTCTACTAATAAAAATCACGATTTGTTAGTAATCTACTTTATGAACCCTTCGATAGAATAATTTTCCCTCTATTAATTCTTTTATTGTTAATTTTCTTTCAATTTGCGTAGATTTTTGGCCATTTTTTTAATGAAATGTCTGGTTCGACTGGCGTCAATTGCAAGCGATAGCCAGTTCCCACTTGTTGAGTGCGTTTTTAAAAAAATTGTCAACCAAAATCAGAGGAAGCTAGCAAAAATGTTTCTCGACTGTTTAAAAGATCGATCTTCTATTGGCCCAATGAGTTTCGCTTTTTTTGCAATTTACCGCGATTTAGTGCAATTTTTTATCAAGTGCCTGATTATACTTTTAATTTGTTCGTTTGTTCATATCAAGCCCAAATTTTAAAAAATTCTTACTTGTGTGGAATGGAGGATAATTTTCTTTTAATGCGGTTAGTATTTAAAGCTCACTCCTCCAAATTCAAGAAAGTTTATTAATATATTTCTCAGTAAACAGTTTATATTTTTTTTGAGGAATTAGAAGGTTTATTTTCGGATGTGAATGTTTTTTCAAAAATCTTATTTTGCATAAAATTGAGCAGCAATTGGCAAAAACGGCTAAAGAACTCAATTTCCTCAAGTTTCAAGTAGGCATTTGTTGTTTTTTTTACATTCACTGTGATGAGCAATTATATTGTGTATTGTTTGTAAAAAGCACAACTTTTCATATATCCTCACTTGTATTTAGTTGAGGAAAAACTTATGAAACTGAGGAGAATTTGACAGAAATATGATTCAGTATACTGAGCTCTAGTTTCAAATGGTATTTGATTTTTTCTTAATGGGTTTGCATTAGTTGTCTTAAGGAATTAGAAACTGTTTCTTCGTATGAGAAGCAAATTTTCAAAAATCCTCCCTTGTTCGAGGAAAATTTGGCATAAATACCGTTCAATATTTGCAGCCCACTTTCCTCAAAATTCAAGCTGATTTATTTGTGTGTTTGTTAATGACTTTTAATTAATTCGTTAACAAAATTCAGAAAGTTTTGTGAACTTGTAAGTAGCAGGTTTCCAAAAGCCTCAATTGTATGAAATTCAGGAAAATTTGCCTGAATGATTGATGAAAGTTTCAAAGCGATACTGAAACCCACTTGGCAATGAAAATTATGAAAAGCAGCGGCAGCACTTGAGCACCTCAATAATTAACCGTTTTGCAGGAATTTGCAGGAAAAATTCCTATACAAAATATCCGTTTGAGAAAAACAGTTGACTAAGCTGCAAGTCCAATTTTTCAGCAGGAAAATTCAATTTCCGCCAGCAAGCAAAGCTACATAAAATCAAAACGAATCCGAGCTAATTTTCGAGATTACCTCCTTTATATTGTGCGATTCGGACTGCTGAACAGTTCAATTTGCTTAATGACAATGCGACTAAAACGGTCTCTCAATCTATAGAAAAATGCAGCGTTTCCTTGCATTTAAGCTGAAATTGCAGTATAGAGCAAAAATCGGTAAATGTCTATTACCAATTCAATTTGCATCGATTCGAGGAACAGCAAGCGGGGCCCCATTTGGCCTAATTAGCAAACGGCTTATTGTTTAAGCGGCACAAACGTTAGTTTTCATTAAAAGGTATTTAGAGCGAATAGAACAGCAATTCCAAGTCGGATAATCACCGCCACTGCTCCCGACTGCTGGGGGTATTACGGAAGACCGAAAATTTCATATAGATCGTTACTCAGACGGCTGGATATGATGAGTAAGACTGATTTGCTTCCTGTTCCCTGCACGGGCCTGGATATCTAAGGAAAATGTTTCGCAATTCTTCTTTGTTCGCGATTATCGGCCGAGATAGTTCATGGGGAAAAACTTTGCAAATTTATAGCTCGAAGGACCAGTTGAGATACAAACGTGCGTCAAAGTTTGCAAACTTGCTGGAAGTTGGCGCCAACTTGCTGAATCTCGCATCCCAACAACGCAAAGATAGAAAACCCGAGTGCCTATAATAGTCCCTAGTTTCCGATACTTCTTTTCAATAAGTTGATAAAGAAAATAAATTATCCTGCTTAAACCTTCGCTGGCTTTGGGTTGATATCCTCATCGCGTCCAGCCGGAATATGAACGCTAAGAATACCGACAAAGGCTCGAATGTAGAGAGCGTTTTCCTGGGGTTTTTTACAAGAATGTTTCAATTAACTTTGCAAGGTGACCAGCAGCAATTTTATTAAAAGTTTTTTTAACGCGAAGCTTTGCCTGCACTCGTAATTCGCTGTAAATAATATTTGCAATTTAAGCTCAACATCAAAAGTGCCATAGTTGAGTTTATGAGCAATTTTCCTTCAATTATAAACCGTATTTCGTGTTCAAATATTTGCTTTTCATGTTCCAGGATCCAACCTGTTGTATAATGAAGTCTGCTGCAGCCAGCGGTTTGGTTCTTTTGGCGCTCTTCGTTGGTAAGTTACTCGCGTTTAGTCGATAGATTGTTTTAGCAGTTTTAAGATTTTAGATCAACTTTGAAGTTATGACGTTTAGTAGTTGGAATCAATGTTCCATTTTGTCCAGTAGCAGGAAAATTCGCAATCTACTTTTGCATGTTTCGTGTTACTTAGCTTTGCTTTTGGTGCTTAAAATTTTTTATGGTTCCTGCTTTTTCTTATTTCACTTCTTCAACTTCCTATTTTGTTTAATTAGGACTTGTTTTGTTCATTTGTGCATTTTCTATGTAACGAATTCTCGAATGTTTCAATATCTGCAGACAAATGCGGTATTTAGGTGCGTCGTATTTGTTTGTTCCTGATTACTCACTTTTTGCGTATTAATACACACATTTTTAATAGTTCGATTATGTGGATTTTCCAAAAAAAATCACCTAAAGCAGCTCGATGCTTAGATAAACACTTCAGTGCGCGTCTTTGACTATCTTGTTATTGATTGATTTTTTTCTTATTTTCAGTCGTTTCTTGTCGCTTGCCTTCTAATTTTCTCGAACCTTCAGTATGTGTCTTAAAGTTTCTTAAATCTCTTTAAAGTTTGGACTTTTCCTTTAATGTTCATATTACTTTTGATATTCTCAATAGTAAATCAACGCATTTTTTTCAAGCCTATTAATGTTTTATTAATGTTAATTTTGTCAAATTCGATAATTTTTTCTATAAAGTTCTCATGAATAAAGTAGGTAAATTTTCGAATACGCACTTCAATGTTGTGGCAATACTGTAGGTACTATTTAATCATTTATTTCATTTTCAAACACTTTTTTTGGTTTTTCTGATCGCTAGTCTACTAATTTATTCTTGCCTTCAGTGCCTGTTTTAAAGATTGTGAAATCTGCTGAACATTTTGACTTTTTCTTTAATTTTCTGATTCCGTTTGATAGTTTCTTTAGTAATTCAACGCACAAAATTTGAAAATTTTCCAGGCAATTAATTATTATTGGATTCAATGCATTTTTGCACAAAATTCACCTGAAGTAAGTCGATTCTTGAATAAACACGTCTGTGTGATTTGTTTAATTTTTGTTTTTTTCTTGTCGTTTTCAAGATTGGCAATTTTTCAAGCCTATTAATTATTGTATTTGATGKATTTTTCTACAAAACTAACTTGAAGAAAATAGATTTTGGGACAAACTCTTCACTCTACTCTTTCCTATCTTGTCATTTATTTATTAGTCCAAAAAATGTTTTGTTTCTTTGTAATCTTCTAATTTCCTTCTCCTTCTAAGTCTTCCGTTTGTGTCATAAAGTTTACACTTTCCGTTTAATTTGCTATTTACTTCTGATATCTTCTTTAGTTTTCGTTCATTCACTCTTTAGTTGTATTTCAACGCATAAACTTTTTCTATACTATTAGGCCGCAGTGCAAACAC